CCTCTCTCCACGCCTTTTGAAAAAGAAAAAGAAAAGAAATAAAAAAGGAATTATATCAATATTAGATGTATCAAGTGTTTCCTGCATTTGTGAACCCACAGTATTAACTAAACCAAGAATACTATGTGTTTGAACAGATATGGATGCCAAAGTAAAGGCCATGATCAAGCTTATTGAAGAAGATGCAGATTCCTTTGCAAGGCGAGCTGAAATGTACTATAAGAAACGCCCTGAGCTCATGAAATTGGTTGAGGAGTTTTATCGAGCATACCGTGCATTGGCTGAACGGTATGATCATGCAACAGGTGAGCTTCGACAAGCCCATCGAACAATGGCAAAGGCGTTTCCCAATCAAGTTCTTTTGTCCTCCCTGAAGATTCACCTCCAGGATCGTCAGCCTATGGGATGGAGCCTCAAACACCAGAAATGCCATACCCAATGCATGCATTGATTGACCCTGATGACTTTCATATGGATGCATTGGGGGTTTCTGCCTCCAGTCTACATTCTGACAGGAAGAATGGACCTTATTCAGAAGAATCTGATTCTGGAATTAGCAAAAGAGGTTTGAAACATCTTCATGAGATGCTTGGGGCAGGAGAAGTAGTACCACAGAATTTGAAGTTTGCTGAAGGAAGGGTGAAAAAAGGCCTAAACAATGAAACAGAAGATAGAGAACAAAGTTTGCATGGTGAAGTCCTCCACTTGTCAAGTGAGAATAAAAGCCTCAAGGCCAAGGTCCTTTCTGAGTCTGAACGTGCAGGTAAAGCTGAAAGTGAAGCTGAAAACTTAAAAAAAGTCCTTGCTGATGCTCAAGTTGAAAAGGAAGCCATCCTTCTTCAATATCAGCAGTGTCTGGAGAAATTATCTAATCTGGAGGGAGAACTCAATCGTGCACAACAAGACTCCAGGATGTTCGATGAACAAGCAAGAAAAGCCGAAACTGAAGTTCAGACACTGAAGGAAATGCATGTTAAATTAGCAGCTGAAAGGGATGCTGGTTTTACAACACACAAGGAGAGTTTGGAAACAATTTCAAACCTGAAGGGTGTCGTTTCTAAAGCCCAGGAGGATGCAAAAGGACTTAACGAGCGGGCCATTAAAGCGGAAATTGAAGCTCAATATTTAAAGGATGAACGTTCTAGACTAGAGTCTGAAAAGGAAGCTGGTCTACTTCAATACAGACAATGTCTCGAGAAGATTTCTTCTCTTGAGAGCAAAATTGCTGTTGCCGAGGAGGATGCCAGACTGCTTAATGACCGAGCTGATAGGGCTGAAGCAGAAGTCAAGAACCTGAAAAAAGCTCTAGCTGAATTAAATGAAGAGAAAGAAGCTGCAGCTTATCAGTATCAGCATTGCATGAAGAAAATATCCAAGCTGGAGGGTGAACTCACTTTTGCCCAAGAGAATGTCAACCATCTTAATAGCGAGATTCTATCTGGGGCTGCAAAATTGAAGAGTAGTGAAGAAAAATGTTTTCTGTTGGAGAGGTCAAATCAATCTCTGCTGCTTGAGGCAGATAATCTTGCAAAGAAGATCTCAGAGAAAGATCAAGAACTTGCTAAGAAGCATGAGGAGTTGGAAAAACTTCAAACTTGTGTACAAGATGAGCGCTTGCGTAATGTGCAAGTTGAAGCCATGCTACACACTTTGCAGAATTTGCACTCTCAATCCCAAGAGGAGCAGAGGGCTCTGGAGCTGCAGCTTAAAAATGAGCTTCAAATGCTAAAGGACTTGGAGATATGTAAACATGGTCTGGAAGAAGAACTCCAGCAGATTAAGGAGGAAAATTGCAGCTTGAACGAATTGAATTCATCTTCCACCATTTCAATGAAGAATTTGCAAAATGAAATCCTTAGCTTGAGGGAGATGAAGGAGAGACTTGAAGAGGAGGTTTCACTACAAATGGGCAAAAGTAATGCTCTCCAGCAAGAAATTTTCCATCTGAAAGAGGAAATTAAGGGTTTGAACAGGAGCTACCAGGCTTTACTGAAGCAAGTGGAGTCAGCAGGTCTGCAACCAGAATGCATTGGATCATCAGTCAAGGAGTTGCAGGATGAGAACTCAAAGCTGAGAAAGATATGCGAGGAGCACAGAAATGAGAAAGAAGCTTTTTCCAAAAAGTTGGAGAAGATGGAGGAAGTTCTGCAGAAAAATGCTCTTCTGGAGCGCTCCCTGTCGGATGTGAATGGTCAGTTGGAAAGGTTGCAGGAGAAGGTGACAACAGTGCAAGAGTCTTGCCAATTCCTCCATGTTGACAAATCCACTCTTGTTGCTGAGAAAGCTTCCCTTCTATCTCAGTTACAAATCATTACACAGAGTATGCAGAAGCTCCTGGAGAAGAACACTGTTCTTGAGAATTCCCTCTCTGGGGCAAATGATGAACTTCAAGGTTTGAGGGAAAAATCCAAAAACTTAGAAGAGATCTGCCTGTTGCTTCGTAATGAAAGGTCCAATCTTCTTACAGAAAAAGGCTCCCTGGCTGTTCCCCTGGAAAAGGTTGAACAGAGACTTGAAAACTTGGAAAAGAGATTTACAGGATTAGAAGAGAAATATGCTGGCCTGGGGGAGGAGAAAGAATCCACAATTTCACAAGTACAACAACTAATGGTTTCTCTAGGTATGAAAAAACAAGACCTGCCAAGTTTTACAACTTGGAATGAGACCCGACTGACTGGCCTGGAAAACCATATCCATCTCCTGCAAGAAGAAACTAGATGGAAGAAGAAAGATTTTGAGGAAGAAATTGATAAAGCTGTAAATGCTCAGTTTGAAATCTTCATCTTACAGAAATTCATACAAGATATGGAAGAAAAGAATTTCTCTTTGTTGATTGAGTGCCAGAAGTATGTTGAGGCATCCAAACTGACAGAGAAATTGATTTCGGAGTTGGAGAGTGAAAATCTTGAGCAACAGGTGGAAGCAGAGCTCTTGTTAGACGAAATTGAAAAGCTGAGGTTGGGTATATACAAAGTGTTCATGGCTCTTGGAATTGGTGCAGATAGTGGGGCTGAAGATAAGACTGAAAATGAGCAAATCTTTGTGCATCATATTTTAGGGAATATTGAAGATATGAAATGTTCACTATCGAAATTCAAGGATGATAATCAGCAGCTGTTGGTTGAGAATTCAGTTCTCCTAACTCTAATTGGGCAACTGAAATTAGAGGGCATGGAGATTGAATCAGAGAAGAATATCCTAGATCAGGAGCTCAAAATTATGACAGAGCAGCTCTTTATTGTGCAATACGACAAGCACGAACTTTTGGATATGAATAGGCAGTTGAGAGCAGAGTTGAGTGAAGGAGACCTATGGGCCAACATGCTTAAGACTGAAGTCGACAACCTGTGTGTGACGCAGGGTGATTTGCAGATGGCATACTTTGAGTTAGATGAAAAATATACTGAGACACTTGAGGAGAACACATCTTTGTTGAAAAAAATTTCAGACATGGAGGAGGAGAAATGCATGGTGGAAGAGGAAAGTGATATTATTCTCCTGGAAACATTAGCTCTTGGTAACCTTTCTACGATTTTCAAAAGTCTCATGACTGACAAAGCTGCAGAACTACAATTGCTTTCCCAAGATCTACAGAATCTTCATAGGGGTAATGATGACCTTGAAAAGGAGGCTGGTAAACTGAGAAGGAAGTTGGAAATGAAAGAAACAGAAAATTTACTTCTTAACAATTCAGTTGAGAGGTTGGAGATGGATCTGTATGGGGTCAAAGAATTTAATGATCAATTGAAGCAAGAAATATCAAGTGGAAAGGACTTGCTGAGCCAGAGAGAAACTGAACTTTCTGAAGCAGAACATAAGCTGAATACAACTGAGAACTTGAACTCCGAATTGTCCAAAACCATGGAGGGACTGAAGGAGGAGTGTGAAGGATCAAAACTCATGAGAGAGAACTTAGAAAAACAGATTTTTGACTTATCTGAAGATAACAACCGCCAGAACAAGGAAATGGAGTGCCTTCGTGATGTGAACGGAAACTTGTTGACTGAACTGGTTATGATAAGCGACGAAATTGAAGAACGGAGAAACAGAGAAGAGAATTTGAGCTCAGAGCTACAAGAGAAAAACAATGATTCTGAACTCTGGGAGGCAGAGGCCACAGGGTTCTATTTTAATCTTCAGATTTCCTCCATCCGTGAAGTTTTATTTGAAAATAAGGTTCACGAGCTTACTGGGTTTTGTGAGACTCTTGAAGATGAAAATGCTTCAAAAACTCTGGAAATTGAACAGATGAAAGAACAAATTAGCTTCATGGAGAGTGAACTTGAAGCACTAAAAGCCCATTTACTGGCATATGCTCCTGTAACAGTTTCTCTGAAAGATGATGGAGCATCTTGTGAGCACAATACTCTTTCCCTGACAAAGCCTAATCTAGCTGATCATCGGGAAGCAAAGGTAATATTTTCATTACTACACCATTAAGAATCTTGTATATTTCGTGACTTGCAGTGAAGAAATATATCCCCTGTACTCATGGGAACTTGATTGAGCTATTAATTGATGAGTCAATGAGAAAACAAATATCTTCAGGGGCTTAATATAATCCAAATGAGATGATATAGTTCATTTTGCTTTTAGCATAGCAAAACAAGCCTCCATCCTATCAGCCTTTTGTGATATTTATGCCCTTTAATATTTTTATATAAACACTTCCTCTTGCAGGGTTTTATCAAATGTTCATGCTATTTTTGCTAGTAAAATTTGTATGATTGGCTCCAGTTAGGTGATGAACTTCTTGTATTACATGTGAAGGGAGATTGACATTAATTTAAATCCCTCATTTTTTACGTGCTTTCCAAGTACCCCATTAGTATTTTGCTTGTACCCAATCAATTATGCTTGTAGCATAATTGATAAACATTGACAAAATAAATTTCTTCGGTGGCCAAATATAATCCAAGTGAGATGATGTACTCCATTTTGCTTTTAGCATGGTAAAACGAGCCTCCATGCTATTAGCTTTTTGAAATATTTGTGCCATTTCATATTTTGCTATAAGCAATTTCTCTTGCAGTGTTTTATTAAATGTTCATGCTAACTTTCCCATGAAAACTTTGATGATTGACTCCAGTTAGGGAATAAACTTGTTATATTGCATGTGAAGGGAGATTAGCATTAAATCCCTAATTTTTAACTGCATCCCATAGTTATCTTTTTGGGTTAATTGCACTAAAAGTCCCAAAAGTATGGAGTTTGTCTCATTTTGGTCCCCAATGTTTCAATTGCATCATTTTGGTCCCTGAAGTATTGAATATGTTTCTATATGGTCCCTCATGCAGACAGTGTCCAGATTGCTAACAATTTTTTATCATAAAATTGTCACATCATACTTAAGTATGGATAAAAAAATAATTTGAATAACTCTTCATCAAATTTCTACTCAAATTTTGGTTAAATACTTACCTAAATTACACAATTTTGATAACGAGCTATCCAAATTTTGGTCAAAAGCTACTCATATTACACATTTTTTTTATTAAAAGCTACCCAAATTTTGTTTAAGAGCTATCAAAATTATTTTTTATCCATATTTAGCTATTATGCGACAAGTTTATGATAAAAAATCGTTAGCAATTTGGATATTGTTTGCTTAAAGGACCATATAGAAACATATTCAATACTTTAGGGACCAAAATGATGCAATTGAAACATTGGAGACCAAAATGAGACAAACCTCAAACTTTGGGGACCTCTAGTGCAATTAACCCTATCTTTTTTGTAGGTATCCAAGAAATTATGCTTGTTCTGGGGTCTTGCCTTTTCATTTAAATTACCAGAACATGAAACTGATCATGTGCTGCAAGTTGTCTGCAAGTTACCTATCTTTGTATCTGCTAATTGGATTTTGTATGTGATTGCTGGAAAAGAATTATACTGAAAACAATACTTTTATTGCATGCTCATGTTTCTAGAATATGGAAGAGGCATTTTATCCCGGGAGAAAATCTGTAAAGAACTGATCGGAGAACAAAAGTCTCCCATACCAAATGGAATTGCAGATTTGCAGAAGTTGCATACTCGGATTGAAGCAGTTGAAAAGGTACTGGTGGAGGAAATGAACAGGCTCGTGATCCCAGAAAGCTTAAGCAACAGCACCAAACTGGAAGCTGCAATGAGAGAGATTGAGGAGTTGAAATCTAAAAGTGGATGGGGTCAAGAAAAAGGCGAGAATGCAGAGGAGAGGGGACTTTCTCGTGATCTTGGCGAGGTGCAGAAAACAAAACCCAAAGTTTCTGAAGTAAGAAATGGGATTCTAATGAAAGATATTCCACTTGACCATGTCTCAGATGGCTCAGTACATGGAATAAGCAGAAGGGGTAACGTTGGGGCAGATGAACAGATGCTTGGGTTATGGGAAACAGCTGAAGAGGACTGCAGCCAGGATCCAGCTGGGAAAAAGTCACAAAAGCAGGCATTTGAGCCAACAGATGATGATATTTTGTACCATCAATTGCAAGATATAGAGCAGAGGAGCGAGCATCCCTCTTCTGAGCTACAAGTGGAAAAGGAGCTAGGCGTTGACCAGATGAAGGTATTTGCAGGTGTTACTGAGGCAAACCGGGGAAAGAATAGAAAGATCCTGGAGAGGCTTGCTTCTGATGCGCAGAAATTGGCTAGTCTTCAGCTAACAGTGCAAGATTTGACAAGGACATTGGAGACAAAAAAGAAGAGCAAAAAGTCTAAGGATGTTGATTTTGAAACGGTGAAGGAGCAGTTACAGGAAGTCGAGGAAAGTGTTGTGCAGCTTGTGGATTTCAATGGTCAGTTGATGAAAAAAATTGAAGAATGTCCCTCAAGTTCAGATGGAAAGGATTCAGCAGAATCTGTGGAGGCTGTGAATGTCCAGAGAAAGAAAGTTTCAGAACAGGCACGAAAAGGGTCTGAAAAGATTGGACGATTGCAGTTGGAGATTCAGAAAATTCAATATCTCTTGCTGAAAATGGAGGATGGAAAGAAACACAAAGGGAGAAGCAGATTTTCCAGGAGTAGAACAACCATTATACTGAGGGACTTCGTTTACAGCAGCCGGAGGAGAAGTAGTGCACCGCAAAAGAAGTCCCCCCTTTGTGGATGCTTCAAACCTTCAACTAATGGAGATCGTAACCACATATAATGCTGATCATTCTCAACAACTATGGGTTATCATTCCCCAAAAGTGTTCCTTGTATGATGTTGAAGGGTATCATTTTTCGGATTTAGTTAGAAGAAACTGTTTATCTTTAGTTTGGAGGAACTGTATGAGTTAGATTTGATCTAATTTGAATAACCTGTTGCCATGAGTCTGCTTTATCACCGAAAATTTGGCACAATCTGTGTCAGTGTAATATTAGACTATCTTGACGTAGTGTAAAAATTGCTGTTTCTGTTCAACATATCTAGTAGGCAGGTACTTCATGCAGGATTTGAAATCAACTGTGTTTTAGAAGCGATGAAGCATAGAAAATCTTTTTGTTCTTTCGAAGCGGGTGGTTAAGATTCTAGGCTTCTTCTAAATTTCAAAGGAAGGAACTCCTTTAATAGACATACCCTCTATTTTAACTGTAAATCTGCGATCCTGTAAACGTTTAAAACATCTATCTTTTGAACTTGTATTTGAGTAGGACTAATTTGAACATTACTGACATTGTGCATACGAGATGTGGCTGTTAAGAGATCTCTCTCATCCTGTACTTGGGATGGAATGGTCGTGTCAGATGATGTTAAAAAATCAAAGGCGTGAGCTAAGTGCTTAAGCTAAGGAGCTCAAGGATATGTAATAGTGATTGCAGTAAGAACATTGTTAGTGATCAGGGAGAGGTAGAGACTAGTGGCTCTGGAATAAGCTACAGAAAACATAGAACAGAAATACGATATAGAGAATAAGACAGAGCACGAGAAATATGGTAGTTCACTAGTTGAAGAGTTTGGCTAGTGCACTTGTTAGAAAATAAAACATAAAATCACAGATTCATAAATTAAATAAACATGCAAATATATCAAATAAACTCAATGGAACTTAGATCAAAAATAAGTTTAGAATAGCCTGGATTGAGGCGCGAGATGAACGCTGTCATAAAAAGAGATACGTCCCCTCCGCACAAAATTTTCTGACGTTCTTTTCCTAAGATACAATAATTCGAGAGAAATTACAGTGTAGGCGTGAACCTCTCTATAACGAATTGATCTCATCCAATTTGCCCACAAAATACACCAAAACTAATAAAGAATGAAGGAGAATATGTATATGAAAGATGTTTTTCTATATCAAAGGAAAATAGATCACATGTCTATTTATATATTAATAGATAGCCATTATCCTTTTAAGGCTATATGAATATATAGGAAATGCTTGGCTTCAATGGCTAGTCTTCATGTAGTAACTCCAATGTATATATATATATATATATATGTATTAATGATATATGTAGTTATTACATATAACTCTCCCTAAAGAATTTCAAAAATAAAAAATTAAAATCATTTAAAATCATAATCATAAAATAAATGTGGGGCTGAAATTATTAATATGAATAAATGATAATAAAATTTAATTTTATATCATATATACTAACAATCCCCCACATGATTTAAAATTAAATAAAAATAAATTGGGCAACAATACCATCCAATAGGTGATAAGTGTCTTCCAGACTTGAACATTCACTTAGCGTTAACGAGTTTCCATCTTAAGAACCATAGTGAACAAATCTTGAACTAGGCTCTTTAATTCAGGTTTCTACTCGTCACACACACGATATGGGTATTAGATCAAGTTCTAATCAGTTTTCTGCTCTTACGACCATGCACGAGTATCTTGATTGTTTCATTTGGAATTAGCCTACATCCCATAGTAGCAGCTACACTACAAACACACATATAGGTGAACCCAGGGCGGAGCCAAGAATTTTGTTCAAGGTGGGCACTTTAATTATGTACTCTAATTTTTTTCCTTCTAACCAATCACACTATATCACATATTTATATTTATTATATTATTTTTGATATATGAAGTCCATTTAACATAAAAAATTTCAAAAAAAAAAAATGTATATTGTCAGGGGCGGAGCCATGAATATCTATAATAGAGGCAAATATAACTGGTATAAAAATATATTAAGCCAAAATTAATACAAAAAAATTCAGTTTAAGAATAAAAAAATATAAGAATCAACACTAAATTATTGTGAAAAAGTAAATTCAATTTTTATTTAGCCAAAACAAAATCTTTACAAAAAGAAACAAAATAATTTTTTTAGTACATTTTAACCTAATTATATATTTCAATAAAATATAAAATTTTTAAAATCTCTAAAATTTTTTGTATATGAATTAAATATAAATTAATTTTCGTATTTTATTAGGTTATAGACTACTATTACTAAAAAAAATGGTAAATGAAAATTAAAAATTATTCTTAAAAAGTAACGAACATTGTGTTAGATAAAGAGAAATATTGTATTTTCGTCAATATACAAATAAAACATTGACTCAATCAAAAACTAACATATTTATTTTAGAGGGTTAGTGGTCCACAAATTTATTAAAAATAAAAAAAAAGACTAGAACCATTATTAAAATTTCCAAAAATTTAGGGGATAAATATAATGTATAAAATAATTTTATAGGTTGGTGTAAGGAAGGATAAACAAAACTCAAGGAACTGAGCTTCTCGTGTGTTGAGTTTTTTTTTTTTTTTTGGTTGGGCAGTGAGCAGTTGGAAGTGAGTGATACATAGAGAAAAAAAAAAAATAAGATAAGTTTTAGTCAAGTGGGCCAAAAGTTTTATTTTTTAATGATGGTGGGCCAAAAATTTTGTTTTTAATATTGAGCTAAAAGTTTTATTTTTTTAATAGATTTGAGTAGATTGTGATAGGTTATATATTTGATTTTTGAATAAGTTTGGATAGATAATAGTGAGTTCAATTTTTTTGGTTTTAAATGGACTTAATTGTTTAATTATTTTTGGTAAATAATGTGGGCCTACTATAAATGAGGGAGACACATATAATATATATGTATAAACTAATAAGAAAAAAATTGAGGGGGGCACATGCCCACCCTGACCCCTACCTCCCTCCGCCCATGGGCGAACCCTCCAAGGATGTTTTGTGACCAACACCCTACAGAATTCTGCCTTAGGCTCATTAAGAGATTTACTCCTCCTTATCACCATCACAGTTTAGAGCACTATCACCTTAGAAATGGGACTAGGGAATTTCCCTTGTTACAATTCAGTGCTCAACATAGTCATGTTACAGTTTTGTTCTTACCTATTGAACCTCTTTCATGGGATCTCTAATCATAGAGGTTAGGTGTCCACTGCAATGACTAACTTATAGGCTTCAATCCCATTTCCCTCGATGAACTTTGAACTTGCCTCTTTGCTAGCCCTTTGGTAAGATGGTCCGCCAAATTATTTTCGGACCTCACAAAGTCAAGTGCAATTACTCCTTGACTAAGCAATGTTTGATAGAATTATGACGGATCCATATATGCCTATTTTTTTCATTGTAATTGGAATTCTTCGCCTTAGCAATTGTAGCTTGATTGTCACAATGTAGAGAAATTGCTGGAATGGGCTTACTGCCAAGAGGTATATCTGATAATAAACACTTTAGCCATTCAGCTTCTGTTGCAGCTGAATCTAATGAAATAAATTCTGCTTCCATTGTTGACCGAGATATAATAGTCTGTTTTGTTGACTTCCAAGCCACAGCTCCACCACCAAATATAAAAACATAGCCACTAGTAGCTTTAGTTTCATCCGAATCCGAGATTCAGTTAGCATCACCGAATCCTTCCAATACTGCTGGGTACCCTGGAAAATGAAGACCATAATTTAAGGTACCTTTTAAATATCGAAATACTCTTTCAATAGCTTTCCAATGTTCTTGATTGGGATTAGAAGTATATCTACTTAGCCTATTGACGACATAAGTAATATCAGGCCTAGTGCAATTGGTTAAATACATTAATGATCCAATAACCTGTGAATATTTTTGTTGTGATACACTTTCACCTAAATTTTTCTTTAGGTGTACATGTGGATCATATGGTGTGTTCACTGGTTTATACTCAAAATAATTAAATTTTTTCAACAATTTTTTAACATAATGAGATTGAGTTAAAATAATCTTATCTTTATTTCTTATTAATTTTATTCCCAATATAACATCAGCAAGGCCCAAGTCCTTCATATCAAAATTATTTGTAAGCATATTTTTAGTTTCACAAATCACATTCGTTGGTTCTACAAATCAAAATGTCATCCACATAGAGACAAAGTATTACACACCCATTCTCAGTTTTTTTTAGAATAAAGACATTTATCCGAATCATTTATAACAAAACCATTTGAGAGTATTACTTTATCGAATTTTTCATGCCATTGTTTAGGAGTCTGTTTTAAACCGTAAAGAGATTTGACCAACTTACATACTTTATTTTCTTGACTTGGTACTACAAATCCTTCGGGTTGCTCCATATAAATCTCCTTGTCTAGATCACCATTCAAAAATGCAGTTTTAACGTCCATTTGATGAATTTCTAAGTTATATATTGAAACAATGGCCATTAAAACTCTTATGGTTGTTATTCTTGTTACAGGAGAATAGGTATCAAAAAAGTCAATTCCTTCCTTTTGATTAAACCCTTTAGCAATCAATCTTGCTTTGAATTTTTCTATAGATCCATCCATTCTCAACTTTTTCCTAAATATCCATTTACAACCTATCGGTCTACTACCATGAGGCAAATCTGTTAACACCCAAGTCCTATTACACATAATAGAATTCATTTCACTATCTATTGCTTCTCTCCAAAAAGGTGCATTACTAGATGTCATTGCTTCATTATATGTCTTAGGATCTTCTTGTACTATACAAGTGTAAAAATCTTCACCAAAATTCTTTTCAACTCTTCTTCTTTTACTCCTTCTAGGTTCTTCATTATCTTGATTGTTTGCTAATAGCTTCCCAACGGCATTTTCACTAATTTGCTTTGGAATTTGATATCTCAACGGAAAAGTGTTCTCAAAAAATACAACATCACGTGACTCCATAATAGTATTAACAGTAATATCTGAAATTTCTGATTTAATAACTAAAAATCTATATCCAACACTTTTTAACGCAT